CGAACCCGTGTCCCCTGCATCGGCAGGCGGACTCTCAACCACAGCGCCACCAGGGAAGCCCCCAAGGGCAACTTTTGATCTTCATTCCCCAAAGGTTTTCCTTGTTAAGGATAATTTGTACCCTTCCAGAAAAGTTTCTATACCTATTTAAGCATGCCTGTGTGTGTGTGTGTGTGTGTGTGTGTGCTTTTGTGTTTGTGTGTGTGTGTGTGTGGTGTGTCTGTGCGTGTGTGCTGGACACAAATGAAAGCATGTTTATGTACCATTGTATAATATTTCCCTATTTAACAATATATCCTGGATATATTCCCATTGATATATATATCTGCCTTATTTTATAATAGTTGCAATAGTATCTCATTGTTTGGAAGTACCATAATTTTGGAACCAATTAATGGACTTCAAGATTTTTCATTACAAACAGTGCTGAAATGAGCACAGTTCATACATCAAGTATTTATTAAGTGCCTACTACATGCCAGACCCTTATGATACCCTGCTAATACAGATAGCAGCTAGACCAACATGGTTCTTGTCCATATGGAGCTTACATGTTTGTAGGTTTGTGTAAGTATATCCACAGGATAATCCCTAGCAGTGGAAATGTTAAGCCCTAGGGTACAGGCATGTTTCATTTTCATAGATATTGACGAATTACCAAGCCCAAAATGCTGCACTAACCTTATATTTCATTAATACGTCAATAGTTCCTTACTGAAACTTAAAACGTGGATCTAAACCGGTCCTAAATTAATTATAGCATATAACTACCTGGAATCAAAAAGAATAATAATCTAAGAAGAATTCAAAAATATGTTAAGAGGGCGTTTTTTGGAGTTTTAGGGGGGAAGGGAGCATTTTTTTTGTTCCCCAAATGAATGTGAAAATTTCCCTGAGAACCAGTTTCCTTTGCCAATGGTCTGGGTTGCTCTGGCCACCTGATATGGACTTGGCAGGCATCTTCTTGCCTCTGAGCCCCCGTTGGCCTCTCCCTCTCATGTAGGTTGTGGAGGAAAGCACACCTCCTTTGATATAGGACTATTCTTCTTTTTTTCTTAATTTGTATTATGGAAAGTTTTTTCAATTATAATGTGCTACAGAAAAACTTGGGAGTAGATGAAATAAGATTGGTCATGTATTGATAACTTTTGCATATTTAAAAAGATTTCCATAACACAAATTAAGAGAAAAAAGAATAATACCCCTCTATTAGGAAAGGTGTTTTTCTCCCCACAACTAAAGGAGAGGCCCATGTGGGCTCAGAGGCAAGAAGGGAACATCCAGATCAAAATCAGGTGGCCACATCAGCCCAGACCATGGGCAGAGGAAAGTGTTTCAGGGCAACTGTTTTCACGTTTATTTTGGGAATAAAAAAACTCTCCTTCATCCTCTAGCAATTATTTCAACGAGCTTATGAAAATATAGAACAGGCAATCATCACACATATTTTGTCCTAACAAGTTTCATGGATTCAGATAATGTTTTGGTTTTAGTTACTGGCCCTACTACAATAAAAAGTGGTAAACTTTTTTCTATCACAAGTGCAACACTACAAAAAGGGATGCTAAGATATATAACGTATGTGATCTTTCAGAAAAATTTCAGTCACCCCAGGAGGTTTCATGAGATCTCAAAACCCAAGTCTGTACCACTTGGCAATGTGGTATACTTAGTTTGTTGTAATAACAGGCATAGAATGGAAAAAAAAAAGGATGAGGTATAAAGTGTATTTTCATGGAGTCTAGAACAGCAGTCTCAACTTAGGTTGCATATTAGAATCATGTGGGGAACTTTTAAAAATTCTAATGCCCAGGGCATATGGCACATCAATTAATTCAGAATCTCTGGGCATCAGCTTTTAAAAGACTTCATGAGGTGATTCCTATGCACAACCATGTTTGAAAACTTATGATTAGCTTATTAAAAATGCAGAATCTCAGGCTCCACCACCAGATCTGTTTAATTAGAATCTGCATTTTAACAAGGTCCCAAGGTCATTTTTCTGCATGTTAAAGTTTGAGAAGCACTGATTTAGATGCATGAGTCAGCAAACATTTTCTGTCAAGGGTCAGATAAGAGATATTTTAGGCTTTGTGGGCCACAGGGTCTCTTTCACAACTTCTCAACTCTGCCACTGTAGGGTGAAAGCAGCCACAGACAATATGTGAATGAATGACCATGGGTGTGTTCCAATAATATCTTATTTACAAAAGAGGTGGATTGCCAACCCTTTATCACAGCACACAGGCATATTTAGAAACAACTCATTTTAACAATAATTCAATTCATAACTTTAGAGAACAAAAAGCACTCATGATAAATAATATGAATTAAGCAAAATAACTTTATTTTTACCTAAAATTGAAAAGTATATTGAGAAATAGTGCATGGTCAAATGTAAATAACTCTATTTCTTTTTATATTTAGCTTCAACTGCTGACCACAAATTCAAAAGCAAGTAATTTTGGTCTTTGTTAGCCAATATTGATCGTCCTCACTAACATAAAATAACAGGAAAAATTTTTACTCAGGAATTGTGTGCAAATATATATGTGTGAAAGATATGTGATTTTTAAATAAAACTTAGTGATTTATAAATCTGTTAGAAATGGACACAAAATGCCTTTTGTGGTATAATGAAAGTGGTAAATTAAAATTTTGTAATATGGAATTCTTTGAAGAAACATTAAAGATATAATGTTCAGTGTTAAGACTAATTTTCATGTGTTTCACGTCTGGACAGTTCTCATGGCCTCTGGAAGAATATTTTTGGCTAACTTATTTTAATAAGCATGATAATACAATACAGCCAATGGTGTGCTGGTAAATGCTTAATAAGTAGCTGTCCAAAAAAGTGTGTGTGTATTTATATTTATATATTTACATATTTATTATAAATTTTACTGATATAAAGGATGTGCAGAATACAATTTATAAATATGCAACAATCATTGCTGTAAATTCTATAGAGCCAATTGGTTCTCATAGAATGCTTTCATTGTTTTTCATTGTTGAACTCCATATCCATAACCAACTATGGTTGCAGTTCAACAATGAATTGACAAAATCAGATTACAAATAAATGCTTGACTACTATCTGGCTTAGCAAAGAAGTCATTCACATTATGACGAGTGAGTATAGTGTCACCATGAATATCGGTTGATAATTTTGTTTATGTTAATGAGTAAGATGAAAATGAACCAGTGAAAATGCAGGTTGGAACTTGCCTTGTTTGTCAGTGATGTGAATGACTAACAATATAGTAAGCCCTGATTTGTAGCACTTGCTGAGTTCTGTCTTAAAGATACTTCCACCATGGCTGATGTTAAGCTACCAACATGGTGTCAAAGAATGTGGATTTAGGAAGAGGGCATGAGAGGCACGCCATTATATATTATTTCCATAATATGACTTAAATATGACTTACTCTGAAGAAAACAGGATGTGTTTAGCACTTACCCAGAAGGGGAGGCAGTGGAGGTAATGTAGGTAACTTAATGAGCCCCAAAAGTTTGCCTCCAATGATGGCACAATAGAATAGGATTATAATTCCAAACAGGTTTCCTCCAGGAAGACATTCAGGGCCGGTAATTGACCAAACTACAGCCCACAGAAGAACAACCATGGTAACTGAAATAAACGAGGAAAACTAGTTTCTACCAAGGAGTGGTCATCTGCAGGTTTTAATATAATCTAAACATTAAAAAAAATGAAGACACATACAAATACCTATAATCATGTGTAAGTTTTAAAGAACATCAGTAATATAAAAAACTGGGTAATTTCCAAGCACCTTAAAAAGTAGGATATTACCACAGTGCCTTTGAATCCACCTGTGTGCTCTTTCTAATCCCATCGCCCATCTGCTTTCACACTGCCAGAAGAAACTACTATCTTGGATTTTTTTTTAACTATTCCCTTATTTTTCCTTATAATTTTACCATAAATATTCATTAGTCAATAAAAAGAGAGTCACTATCTATATCCTCTTCGCAGAAACATGAGAACACTTTAACAATCACACTCCAGTATTTTAGTTCTGCCTTGAATTAAGCATTATTGTTTATTGTCTAACTATTGCTTCTTTTCTATTGTCGATGTTTGTTTAGAATTACCCACATACTTACATTTTTTTTTTGATCATCATTCATCATGGCATCTCAAACCTTTCATCTCGACAATTATTTTGTTGCCTGAAGTATTTCCTTTACTAGAGGCATGTCTGTTAGAATGTGAAATATGTTTCCCTGTTTGAAAACCTTTTGTTCTACAAAACTGTACATTGACAATAGAAAGGCACATGGAAAAAAGAGAGTTGGGCAGACTATTCACAACTCAAAACTTGTGACCAAAGCACTAACAGAAACAACAATGATCCTAATAAAAGTACCAGCACAGTTAAATCTCCAGTAATCTTTGTATCTCCCATAGTCAACCTCTTCTTTGCAGACTTCAACACTGGAACCACACTTACTATTTCAAGATGCAGAATCTTGAGAGCATTTGCTCTAAACAGAGAGTGGTTCCATCAAACCCTATCCAGACTGTAGCCTTCTCCATCAATCAAATGGTTTGTTGTTGTTAATGTTTTGTTTTGTTTTGTTTTTTAACTGAGGTAAGTGTTGGCAGCTTCCTCATCACATGTGGCTTCATTAGACAGCTTAATGTCGTGGAAAGTTTAAGTCTTTGACGTCCCTAAGAGAACAACTAACCACCTCAAAAGAAGGTACTTACCCAGGGTGCTCAGCTTTTTAAAAGGCTTTATTTATCTTTAAAGTTAGTAAGTCTTTATCTTTAGCTGTAATAAAGTATATACCTGATCTTTCTTGGGGGAAGGTTTCAATTCACTTTGTACCTATCTGCTATTGCTCGATGATGTTAAATATTACTATGCCAGGAAAAATTATGTACAGAAATGCAAACTCCATATTACACTGACACAGTTCCCTATTTACCATCGCATATAAACTAAATCGTGGTACAGAAACACTCTGTAGCAGAGCATGCTATATTTCTCATGAAGATCTGCTGGTAGCAAGTTTTTAGTTTTATTTATCTGGAATCATCTTTATTCTCATTCTTAAAAGATAGCTTATCTATGTATACAATTCTAAGTTGAGAGTTACTTTCAGTTCCTTGAAAATATGATTCCTTGGTTTTCTGTCTTTTGTTACTGTTTTGTAAGTTTAATTTCAGCTCTTCTAGGGAATTCTTTTTCTTTGGTTGGTTTTAAGATCTTTCTTTTCCTTTGGCTTTCTGCAAATTCAGTATATGTTTAGGAATGGCTTCCTTTTGGTTTGCTTAGGATTTATGCTTTTTATAAATTCTGTATTTCTTCAAATATCTTATCCCCCCCATTTTTCCTCTTCATTTTTTCTGGAGCTATGATTAAACAGTCACACTCTCCCCTCCGCATTGCTAACCCTAGTTTCATATTTCCCATCTTTGTCTTTGTGTATTGCATAATCTCTTCAGATCTATTTGCTAGTTTACCAATTTTCTTTCTGCTTACTCTGCTGTCTACCCACTGTTTTCAGTTTCAATTACTGTACTTTATCTTGCATCTCTAGCACTTCAGCTTGGTTCTTATTAAAATCTGTTCATTTTCACAAAGAGTTGTTTTGTACTCATACTTGCTATTTCCTCTTTAGCTTCTTTACAGATAGCAAAAATATTTTATATTCTATTTTCTGATAATGGAAAATGTTGCGATGTTTCCTTGTGCATTTATTTATGATTTTTTGTTTGTTTTCTTGCAACAGTGAGCTCTTCCTTGCAACTGTATCTCTGGGAATTGCTGAAGCCTTAGGTTGAGTCTGAGTGTTTCCAGATAGGATCTGAATTTGCTTCTACCATGTGTTTAGATGCTTACACACTGGGACCACTTTTAGATATATTTTCAGTTTGAGTTATTTTTCTATGAATTTGGAGCACAAATCGGAATGAAGTTACCCATTTTTAGTGGAGACTCTCCCCTCCTCCAGCCAGCACCACAGTTTAGACAGACAGGTTTAGTTACTGGGCCCCTCTGCAGGGCAGGTTTACCTCAAATCCACCATCACATTGGGTTCCAACTTTGTGTGGGTGAGAGAGAATGACTTCTCCTATGATGCTTCTCCCAACCTGGGCAGCTCTAGCAAAGCCTCTTATACTCTCATGGTTCACAGAATAAATCTCAAGTTCATTGGTATTTTGCAGAAGCCTCTGGAGAGAAGGCCAGCTTGAGTGTTTATTTCTCTCTCCTACTTACTTATACTTTGTTTTTGGTGTCCGATGACTTCCTGTTTTCTTGACAGATAAAAGGTACATTTAAAAAGCCTTAAACTATTTTCAGATGTTTTCACTGGCATAAGTGAAAGGATTATTCACTGAGTCTCCTCTACATATTGCTAGAGATCACGTCCAATGTCCCATTTTTTAAACCCTTACAGAATTGTTCCAGATTTTCTAGGCTTATGATGCTATTACAACAAAATAACAAAGGGGCCTTCAGTATTTCCCAGTTGGCTATCAGGGCTGAAATTTGTAACAGGGGCTGAAATATAATGGGAAATCAGGAATTGCCAGCTACTAACTTGTATCTTATCACAGCATAAACCTAGTCTGATACTAATTCAGAAAGGTAGAATTAAGGGTTTTCCACTTCAACATTACTTTTTTAAAAAATTGTACTTATTTTTTTTACACAGCAGGTATGTATTTTATACGTATTAGTGTATATATGTCAACCCCAATCTCCCGGTTCATCCCACCACCACCCCACCCCTGCCACTTTCCCCCCTTGGTGCCCATACGTTTATACTACTTTTTAAAAAAAACCTCTAACTTTCCTTTTCCCTCCTCATACTCAAAATGAAATTCTGAATACATAGTGAGTGTACATGTATAAGGTTTCTCTAAATCATATTTAATTCAATTAATAATTTATTTCTTATCTACAATTTTGAAAACTAATATTCTCACATGTAAGATTTACTTCTTAAGAAGAAAACTTTGCATGATGAAGGGTCACAGGAAGGAGTACAGGGTAAAAAAGCAGTCTTGTAAGCCTCAGAAACGGAAGTATAAGGAAACAAGTGAGAGGTGTTTATGTATCGTGAGTCCCCATTTCTCAGGCAGCTTTAAGGACAATGATTATAGAATTTTATAAAACTAGTCTCCAAATCACATCATTCTTTTATACCCCCTTCCTTAATGCAATCCATATCCATTGTAGTGTACATGTTTTAACTAGAAGAGTGCCATCACTTGAACGGTGAAAGTTTAAAAAAAATAAAAAGAACAGTAAAGGTATTAAATTATCTGTTGCCTTCTCAACTAGTGCATATTCTGGAACCTGGTTTTCTCTACATGTTTTAAGTAAAGTTTGAGATTTTTTTCTCATGCTGGTCTAGAAACTTACCTAATTTCATTAAAAACATATCTAGAGCCTGAAGTATAATATAACGTATCATACTTGGCTTCCATTGTCCCAGTGGCAAATGATAAAAATGTTTTTCAGAGCTCACAAACGCAGTATATGTATAAAGAAGTGAGCCTCCATCACCTTGAGACCAAAACCAGACAAGGATGTCACAAAGAAAGAAAACTACGCCAATATCACACTGATGAACATAGATGCAAAAATCCTCAACAAAATACTAGCAAACAGAATCCAACAGCACATTAAAAGGATCATACACCATGATCAAGTGGGGTTTATTCCAGGAATGCAAGGATTCTTCAATATACGCAAATCTATCAATGTGATTAACCATATTAACAAATTGAAGGAGAAAAACCATATGATCATCTCAATAGATGCAGAGAAAGCTTTTGACAAAATTCAACACCCATTTATGATAAAAACCCTGCAGAAAGTAGGTGTAGAGGGAACTTTCCTCAATATAATAAAGGCCGTATATGACAAGCCCACAGCCAACATCATCCTCAATGGCGAACAACTGAAAGCATTTCCACTAAGGTCAGGAACAAGACAAGGTTGCCCACTCTCACCACTCTTATTCAACATAGTTTTGGAAGTTTTAGCCACAGCAATCAGAGAAGAAAAGGAAATAAAAGGAATCCAAATCGGAAAAGAAGAAGTAAAGCTGTCACTGTTTGCAGATGACATGATACTCTACATAGAGAATCCTAAAGATGCTACCAGAAAACTACTAGAGCTAATCAATGAATTTGGTAAAGTAGCAGGATACAAAATTAATGCACAGAAATCTCTGGCATTCCTATATACTAACGATGAAAAATCTGAAAGTGAAATCAAGAAAACACTCCCATTTACCATTGCAACAAAAAGAATAAAATATCTAGGAATAAACCTACCTAAGGAGACAAAAGACCTGTATGCAGAAAATTATAAGACACTGATGAAAGAAATTAAAGATGATACAAACAGATGGAGAGATATACCATGTTCTTGGATTGGAAGAATCAACATTGTGAAAATGACTCTACTTCCCAAAGCAATCTATAGATTCAATGCAATCCCTATCAAACTACCACTGGCATTTTTCACAGAACTAGAACAAAAAATTTCACAATTTGTATGGAAACACAAAAGACCCCGAATAGCCAAAGCAATCTTGAGAACAAAAAATGGAGCTGGAGGAATCAGGCTGCCTGACTTCAGACTATACTACAAAGCTACAGTAATCAAGACAGTATGGTACTGGCACAAAAACAGAAAGATAGATCAATGGAATAGGATAGAAAGCCCAGAGATAAACCCATGCACATATGGTCACCTTATCTTTGATAAAGGTGGCAGGAATATACAGTGGAGAAAGGACAGCCTCTTCAATAAGTGGTGCTGGGAAAA